CTGTAATAAATACTGTAAAACTTCTATAGTTTAGTCATGAATCGCTTTAACAACCGGCATCATTTGAATCACTCCCCCAATACGGTTGTTAGACTCTAAACCATTGAGTGCTCGAATCAGAACTATTTGGGTACGCATTTGTTTTTGCAAATCTAAGACAATTATATGAGTGTGTGTGTATGTCTGCTTTGGTATTGAAGGATTTAATATATGACAATTCAATTAATTATATCTGATGGGAACTAAAGAAACTTTATTATAGAAGGTGGATACGACAGCGAAAATCTATATGTTTCTGTGATTGTGTATTATATCTTTGATGTTTTATAACTGAAAATTAGCTGTGATATTTTGATTTCCACATATTCGTATCTTATCTTCAACAGCGTCAGTTTTTCCCTAGGACCATTGTGTTATAGAGATACCCTAGGACCATTGTGTTATAGAGATCCCCTAGGACTATTATGCTATACACATCATCTTGGACTATTATGCTATACACATCCCCTAGGACTATTATAATATTATACACATACCCTAGGACCATTGTGTTATAAACATCCCCTATAACCATTGTGTTATACACATCCCCAAGGATCATTGTGTTATACACATCCATTTCAAATATTTCCTTATAAAGTTTTTGTTCATAAATCACGGAATGAACAAGTTAATTTGAAACAAGAATTACAATAGCAACAGTTTCAGCAATATATATATATATATATATATATATATATATATATATATATATATATATATATATATATATATATATATATATAGAGAGAGAGAGAGAGAGAGAGAGAGAGAGAGAGAGAGAGAGAGAGAGAGAGAGAGAAACGTAATTATATTTTGGTGATTTGTAGTAAATTTATACAACAATATTAGATTTCAAGATAGCAAGGAGATTAGAGCTCCTTGTTGGACTGCTCTGAATTAAATTAAAAGGTAAACCCGTTTACAAGAGATAAATTTAAAAAATCACTATTCGTGCATGAAATAATATTAGAAGCAGATTTAACTCTCTCTCTCTCTCTCTCTCTCTCTCTCTCTCTCTCTCTCTCTCTCTCTCTCTCTCTCTCTCTCTCTCTCTCTCTCTCTTATAATCAAATTTTAATCGGTTCTAATCGCAATTCCTACCGATCTATATAGACTGTGTGATATTCTATCATAAAATATAGAGTAAGTGTCACTTGCCGGTGAGATATTACATTTATCTTGCTGCGGATACAATTGTCCAAGAAACGCCTGCGGTGAGAATTTATTGAGAAAATAGGACTCTATCCATGCAATAAACAAGCTTGCTAGTAAGTATGTAGTGTATCCGTGTTACTGTCACGTGTATGTAGTGTATCCGTGTAACTGTCACGTGTAATTTACACATGTTGCATTATGACACATTTTAAAGCTGAAAATCCCATTGACTTCAACATCGGACTCTATCCATGCAATAAACAAGCTTGCTAGTAAGTATGTAGTGTATCCGTGTAACTGTCACGTGTAATTTACACATGTTGCATTATGACACATTTTAGAGCTGAAAATCCCATTGACTTCAACATCGGGCCTATAAACATTGCATTCTACATCTGATCGATTATTATCTTGCTGATTACAGGTTATCACAATGAATGCTTCTTCGTGTGAGATTATAAACTATGTTTGGAAAGGATGGGTCTGGGTTGCTATATGGTGGGGATAAAAAAAAGCAAACAGACAACGAAGTATGTACTACACATACCCGTTCATCACACTTAAGATAATTCAAGTAATTAGTTACTAATTTCTGTAATAGAAAATCTTACCTTTTTGACAGAAAAGATGCAGACATTTCAGAATCATTATTGTTACATAAAAATTTAGACGAGACTGAAGATTACTAATTTGCACAATGAAAAATATGTACAAATTTGAGTTTCATATAAGTTAGCTCTGAAAATAAATAAATAAATAAATAAATAAATAAATAAATAAATAAATAAATAAATAAATAAATGTAACCGCATGACATCGCTCTTATTCACACGTGGTTTTCACATTACCGGAATCTAGCCACTCTGTGGTCATCTATGATCACTGATAAAACGTGATTTATTGACAGCCATCTATACGTCAATTATGAAGCAATCATTCATCATCTTCTTTTAAAGATTTAAATTAATATGGTAATTCAATTAAAAGTAGGAACTAATAGTTTCCAGGCAACATAAAAATGGAACACATTCAGCCATTATTTTCCACTAAAAGGTTAAATATTATTATATGTGCCCACGCATAGAGTAAAACATGAGATCATCAACCGTGATGGTATATTTTATGAAACCTCTTAAGTAGAAATGGCCATTTAATACGGACACCCAAACGGTTCAATCTTCATCTATGTTCAGTGTGGACGTGGTCAATCGCTTAATTTTGAAAACCTAGATATCGGTGGGAAGATATTGTTTTAATCTAATTAATTGTTGTCCCATAGATTCAAAAAAGGGTTATAAATATAGGTTTTGAACTCCATGATTGCAACGTAGTTGTTATGCAAATATACACTGTGGAGGTACTTTTTTGATCGTCAAGGTTTATACTGGAGTGCAATTGATTTTTACATAAAATGAACATTATGGTAGATTTCTCTAATTGAAATGGTGTTTTAAGGTCGAGCTTTTAACCCCATTCTACAGCTTATCGTACAATCTAGACGATAGTCAATGATAGTGTCATATGCGTTTACTTCAGGGCAATGTTAGCTAATGACACTATCCGTCATTAAGACTTGACACAAGTCGCATAATGCCGTCTGGATGGAAACATTTGTATAGTGATTCAAATACACGGCTTGTTGTTTTCTTTGCTTTCACCATTGGCATTGTTATGTTTAATACTTTGCATATATAGTCGTCTGTTAATGTTTAATACTTTGCATATATAGTCGCCAGTATGATTATTTCGGACGGGCTACGATCATATAAGTCATATTGGTGATATGGGCGAGACTAAATATGCCTTTTTGGGCTCACCCTATTATACCGGCCTTGTAGTTGTTCACTGCCTTTCAGTAATGGATGTAATTTTATAGAATTTGAGTACAAATATATCCAAACGGCGATTATTTACTTTCCTTAGCTCCGCCGCCCAACGACATTGTCCTGTCATAACGTTTATAATAGAGCCTCATGTGAAAAAAAAAATGCAGGTTTTGTCGCACACTGAATCGTATTACTATTCCCAGCCTCATGACAGTAATTTTCAGAATATGTCGGTTGGAAGTCAGACGAAATAAGGCACTAAGTTCTCACCGGATACGTTATATTTTGGCAAATTCTATTGCAGAAAAATGATAATAATATTACATTAAAAATACAAATAAAAACTAATTTATAATTTATGTTGAAAGGATGCTTGCAAGACAAAATTCTGACTGAGGTATTAAGGTTAATTCCTTATACAACTGCTGGCTTTTATACTGAACCGATACTACAACCAATTCCTCTTTTTTACATTCATTTTTGATAGGAAAGAACTATTTTGAACATTTTCCTGAGACAAGGCGGCTAAAATAAGTATTATGTACCTTATTCATATTTAAAGTTCACTAGCACTAAAAAGTTAACATACACTTAATCCCACCTAAAAAATCTAGATTTTTAGATATTTGCCTTTCTAGCAGACACATGTAAATATATAAGTGAAGGCGGCTGCTCATTTACAGTCCAAGTTACGCATTTGATCTCCAATACTAGTCTAACTGTGACAGGCAGTCAACAACAAGCCAACCCATTTTCAAGTCTAACTCAATGTAAATGTAAACCACATTACATATTTAGATTGTGTGTGAATTTATAAATGCTAGTATTGTGATAATTAGGCTCGTGCCTTCTATTGTAAATATTAGTGGGGTGTCAAAATACGAAACTATCCAATGAGACATAAGAGGTTCAGCTACGTGCAGAGGTATGTAACCAGCAACGCCTGATCTATTTTAATACTGGTTAAATTGGGGAAGGGGATGACGTTTTTACATTGGCAAGATTTGAACCTTGTATCGAATCAGTTTAGGATTTAGTGAGGGTCATCCCGGACTCGCTATAGCAGATGAAGACAGCATCATGAAGACAGGTACAGTATTCAGAAACATAAGCACGCTGTGCATGTCTTATTGTTTACTTTTTTCGGAATCGGCCTTTGCATAGATCCAACTGGCATGAAACTTCACGTAAGCACCATCCAAGACTACAACAACGATACTGTATTGACAGTTCCATAACAAAGCTTAGTGGTGGTGGTGAAAATGGAGGTGGCCAGTCAATTCCGATGGTATCAAGGAATTGGAACAAGAAAAGACGATGGATAAGAACCTCTTTTACTGGGATGTAATCCTGACCACATCCTTGAAAGAACTCAATATCGATGAGTGATCTGCGCTGGTGGTCTGACAATACCTTGGCTATTTATCTCTTCGAGAATGAGAGGCAATAAACTCTTGCAAGAATTATAGCAACAGCCCATACATTTACTGCGAGCCATCTGTCTGTTTTTGCCCTGGAAGTAAAAAAGCCAAAGAGATGATGCTGTCGGTGATGATTAACAATGCGATGTCTATTTTCGCAACCATTGCGAGGGCACCGCTGAGGATTGCTTTTTTTTACTCACTCCATGACGCTTCCATTATGAGGTCGAGGGAATTTGGTGTGGATGTTGAACCACCCTTACGGCCACCAGTAATATATAGTACTAAATTTATAATGATGAAGCAGAGCCACGATTTAGCTGATTTTTCCATCCTGCTTGCAAAAGAGGTTACTAAGAACCTAGAACACAGTCTCGTGGAATCTAATGAGCTGAAAGCTGTGGTACCCTGATGTCCACATATAGCGTCGAGTGGTGCAAACCTCTTAATTACAAGGTGATAAATAATTTTAAAAATTACCTTTCCTATCTTGTGATTTTCTTTTTCAACGAGGTGGTCCATTTTATGCACGCTTAGTTTTGTTTCATTAGTTAACGCATCTGGTTCAATTGGCAGAGCATCTGACTTGTCATCCAAAGGTTGCAGGTTCGATACATGCACGATGCAACCTAGTTGAATCACTGGGAAAATGCACTTAACTCCAATTTATTCGGCATTATATTACGAAGAGTCTTTCAATGTGCAGTTAAAATATGCCCCCCTCCAAGGAAAATTTAAAATGAGAAAGCTCATTATCTGTGGGCTTGCCTTTAAAATGTTCTGAATATCACATTGAATCGAATATTGATATAGATGTTAGTATTATCATAGTCTATACCTGCTGAGCTTACGGCATCGTTTTTGTAATTGAATTTAGCTTGGTCATTACCTTATGACTGACATGGTTATCTGTGATCATGAATCACGGGGAACATTAGCACCTTGGTAGTGATATACTGCTCCTGGGGCTAGAAAGGTATTAAGGACATACTCTGTCCCCCATTTCATGCTGAGAGAGTCTTTCTTTGAGATTTTTAAACTTAGGGCAATTTTGTTTCTTATTACTGCCCTAAAAGAAATTCAAAGATACTAGACAGATACGTGGATGGCTGGGTATCCGTCTTGTTGTTTGATGTGGTGTAAAAGCACGTCCGTTATTTTTGGTCTACTCAAATGCTATATGGTTTATTTAATCATTTAAAATCAGTATTATCTCCATCTGTCATTGTGTTACATACTATCGAACATGCACTCATAGAATCCGATAGCAAACTTGATCTCTTCGGAAGTGATTGTGTGTGGTTGCAAATAATCCTAACAAAATGGGTCAAAACAGCCAGCACCTGGTGCGCATCTCTATCCTGATGTTGTCATCGTCTCAGTGACTGTCTGTCTGGTTTTCATGGTTGACACCAACATCCTCAAAACCTTAAGACATGCGGATGTAAATAGGACATTTATGGAGATATATACAGCTGCTGTAACCTTATCTGGTAGACGACCCTATAGCATTAGAGTGTTGTCATGTCTGCTGCACAATATACAAAAGAGGAATGTAGGCAGAATGTACGACCGTAACTTACCTTCAATGACAATCATGTGATCAGACCCTATCGAGCAGGAATAGGTTGGGACATACTTTGCCTGCAACAAGCTCAACATTCTATGGTGGTCATTGTGGCAAAGGACAAACATGTGTCCGACATTAGAATCAGAAGGTACATCATATCCAAGTACATAGTATAACTAGACATGCACTCCAACTATGATGATTTTTTAAACGTATGTACAAGAAGATTCGACGAACCCAAGGGCAATGTACATTAAACATACACGAAGCTTCAAAACTGGTCTTAAGTTTAAGCAGTTGGTCTTGTCATAAAGATTATAGTATCTACAGCCAAAATGCTTCTGAAAAAATGTAGTTAAACGTTACTCTTTCTGAGTCATTGAGAACGAAAATGATGCTTAAAATTGTTGACTGGCTCTAGTTTTAAAGATATATTAATGGGTCAGCATATCTGACCCTTGGCTTTTGAATGCCGGAGGATACGTCAGTTGTAAAAGGAAGGGATCTCAGTTTTAACCAGAAATGACTAGAATACAGCTTTGACTGGATATATGAATAAATCTATGGCTGGGTTTGGACAGTACTTGCTTTTAAGGCAAAACAATGAATGATACAATCTGAAGCTGCTATTGCGTTATACATGATACGAATAGCATCATGTTATTCAGTAGTCATGAATGATGCAAATCATAAATAAGCTCACATCACTCTGCTGATCAAACTGCCCTATATCAGCTTTAAAAACAGTGTCGTGTTCTTTTATTTGTCAGTGTTTGAATTTGCAAAGGAACACATTTCTGTTCAACCTTAGGGGAACAGAGATGCCTCGTACTTACGTGAACAATGCAAATAAATTGTGTTATGCTTGTGGTGAAATTGCGTTTGCATAACAAAAGCTACGGTTAAAAATCCCAATCACCTTTTTTTTGGTTGTAAATTTGGAAATCAGGACAAGAGGTGCAACAAATCTTCGCCTGCGGTTCAACACGAGTACAACAGTGAAATATCCTGGCAGGTCATATTAGGGTTTCCATGTTCGAAGACCGTCAAAAGGATCTTGTCCTATTGTTATTCATGTAAGGTTTCAATGGTCCGTTATCTTCAAAAGGATCTTGTCCTATTGTTCTTCATGGGAGGTTTCAATAGTCCGTTTTCGTCAAAAGGATCTTGTCCCATTCTTCTTCATGGAAGGTTTCAATGGTCCGTTTTCGTCAAAAGAATCTTGTCCCATTCTTCTTCATGGAAGGTTTCAATGGTCCGTTTTCGTCAAAAGGATTTTGTCTCATTCTTCTTCATGGAAGGTTTCAATGGTCCGTTTTCGTCAAAAGGATCTTGTCCCATTCTTCTTCATGGAAGGTGATCTTGAAGCTTCAACAAAATCGATGGTGTGATTGCAGCCCTCAGTATCGTTCATGATCCACATGAGTGGAGACTGTTCATTGATTCATCTAAGACGAGTCTTAAATCTGTTCTGCTGCATAATGACAATGTTTTGCCATCAATTCCAGTTGGTCATGCAGTCCACATGAAGGAAACCTATGAAGACATGAAACAACTTTTGACGTGCATAAACTATGACCAGCATCAGTGGCAGCTTTATGGTAATTTCAAGGTTCTTGCTTTCGTGCTTGGTCTCCACACTAGATGCATAAAATACTGTCGTTTTCCCTGCGAAGGGAACCGTTGGTGCTGAAGATTCCTACTACATTAAGAGAAATTGGGCACTCAAACAGTCATTGGATTCTGGGAAGAAAGGTGTTCTGCCTCCACCACTTGTTGATTATAGGAAGATGTTGTTACAACCCTTGCACATGAAATTGGGCATCATGAAGAACTTTGTCAAGGCCTTAGACAAAACACCATATGCTTGCAGGAACCTCCGTGGAAATTTTCCAAGGTTAAGTAAATCTAACATGAAGAAAGGTGTTTTTGTTGGTCCTCATATTACTAAACTTCTTTTAGATGATGCATATTATTGTGAACTGCTTGGCAAGGAAAAGGCGTACATGGAAAGCATTCCAATTAGTGGCAGTAAAATTTTCTCAGAAACAAAAAGACAGCTAACTGCATAGAGTTGGAAGAAAGCTTCGTCTAGGCTAACAAAAGCCTTGGTTGCTACGCGTTACTAAAGATAAATATTTTGCTCTCTAATCTAGATTTATTCGCACTGAACTGAGGAGCAGTGAGCGATTAGCACGCAACCAGAACATTGCAACAATGGTGAAACGCTAGCACGGCAAACGATGTCTATCAATGCTTGCAGACTATTGCTTGGCAGTGACAATAGATGCTCTGTTTAATGAATATAAGAGACAAGCGCCAAGAAGCGATTAGTGGACACTGAATAAGGACTAAACTATATAATTATATGTATATAATAGTTTTGTCTTTTGTTTCATAATAAAGCTACTGTTTTTTTAAAGTGTTACATAAACTGCACAGGTGAAATATTTTCATGAAGAGCAAGCATAAATATATGAAAAGAAATAGGTTTACAAATTTAGGATTAAAACTCTACTATCTACACAATGTAAAAAGACATAAAATATAGAAAATGAAATGGTATCAGAAACAGTTGCCAATCATTTGTTTTAGTTGTCATATTTGAAATCAGTACATCAAAACAAATAATAAAAATCACCCTTATGTCTGAAACATATGACCTCTAAAAATGGCAGACCAGTGTTATCGACAACTACTCAGTCACGAAACCATTACAAAAGGAAGAATTTTCTGACAGGCCTCTAAATTCTTGGACCGTCACTCACATAAAACAATTGGGTACTCAAGTAGATGTACAGTTCATTTCTCAGGGATTTTTGGGGTCAAACTGGTCTGTACAAAAACGACTTTGTTCTACATAGGCAAAAAATGGATGCTCTTCGGTGTGTGTTATTGGAGTCTACGGTTGCCATGCATGGGGGATGCAATAACACCATACTAATTACGATTATGCTTTGGGATGCACTTTTGCTAGATACTGGAGATGGTAACGTATATCACTTCGGTCATAAAGAAATCAATAGATTGTGATTATATACACAACTGATTTCAAAACCCTTATTCAAAACTGTTAGAGCCAATTCCGGAAGAAACAGTGCTTTGGTTGATAGGTCATCTTCTCAGTTCGTTGTATGTGGTGATCAAATCCGAAAGCTTTTCAGTGGAAACACTAAGTAAATACATAACCTAGTCTGCAGATCACACAGAGTGTAAAAGCCTCATGCAAGGCATTGAGTGACCTGCATTTTAAATGTTTTATGAGCCTGTAAAGCAAACTGCACAACTGGAAATGACCTCTCAATGCTTAGTCCAGGTTGTCCGACATACCTTGGCAGGTTGGTGGCACAATAATCATACAGGCGACAATGCTTAACAATGTTCAGGACAATAAGTCAACAACGCTTGGTTATACAAAAGTGAGCGATGAAATACTGAAAGATGTATACGACCAATACACAGTCCCGTGCTAACTTGGTGATAACTTTAGTCAACTAAGCTATAAAGATTTTAAATACGTCATTCATTATTTTAATCACTACCCATCCAGGCTTAAGTATATGATAAGCATACAATCAAAACCATATAAGCACAGCAGTATTAACTGCTAAACGTGGCTAGAAAGCATTGAGGGAAGCATTGAACCCCACCTTACTTGCCACTATCATGAGCATAGTGGAAATTTTGCTGTGCGAATATATTAAAAACAGGTGCTATTTCTGGTATGTTACTTGTGCTATAGTTACAGTCTCCATCGACAGTTTTACGAGTTTGTTAAGGAGAAAACAGTCGGGAGGACTCGCATAAAGATTGCCGAGAAAACGGACAAAAGGAAAAGAATCTAGTACTCTCAGCGGCACTTGTGGCTTGCAGTTGTGCTAAACAATAGTTTAGGCGGTAGGTTACTTACTCTCAGTTGGTGGAAATGAGTGTTGTTGAAACTGAAAAGCTCCAACGCAGATACAAGGCTTGGCTTTGAGTCATGATGACTAAGATTTTTAAAACATCAGCCTGCACATCTACATGCGTTCAAATGATCCCTGTCTGCTCATAATTA